AAAATTACTTTATAAAATTAATTTTATTTTAAAATATTTTTGTCTCTTGTTTTCTAATTTCTCAATTATAAATATGTATACATATATATGTATTTTAAAAAAAATTTCCTCTGCTGCAAATCAGAATGATGTGCTAAACCCAAACTAAAAGTTTCCATTTAAACATACATACAAATGTGCTTGATACAATTGATGTATGGATTGTTATGAGAGCTATAAGAGCCCCCCAAAATGATTCACTAAAATAAATAAATAAATAAAAATTTCCGTTTGTTAAGGATATTGTATATTGTAAATACAAAAATTTTTAAAAATATTTTTATTAACATATCTTACTCATTCCAATATATTCCTACCTTCCCATATAGTTCTGTTGTTCAATCCCATCGGGTGGGGCTATATCATCATCAGTGCTATCAACTCCCTTCTTCCCACTTTCCTTTCCCCTACCTCTCACTTCCTGTACCCTCAGGGAACCCTTACTTCTGTCAGTGCCTCTGAGGAGTCATTTATCTTGACTACCATGTACTGAGCAATCTAAAATGTACAAATGAACATACGCAACTCTAACATGACCAATGAGGTATATCATGTACTGACCATAATAGTAAGGGGAGGAAATCTTAAAGAACTAGACCAGTGGTTTTCAACCTTCCTAATGCCGCAACCCTTTAATACAGTTCCTCATGTTGTGGTGACCCCTTATGTGGGTGTATCTGCATGTGGGCGGACCCTCCTGAAGACGGATAGAGGAGCTGTGTCTCAGCTCCTAAGACCATCGGAAATATGGTCTTTGGTGACCCCTGTGAAAGGGTCGTTTGACCCCCAAAGGGGTCGTGACCCCCAGGTTGAGAACCGCTGAACTAGAGGATAGTTGTGTGGCTCATCAGTGCCACACTATACCCTGGGTTTATCCTCCATTCTGTGAGGCCCTCCTAAAAGGGACTGTCCAATTGTCTTGCTGGTGGACTTTGGGTCTCTACTACATCCAGGCCCCTTCAGATCAATTTGGATGCATGCTTTTTGAACTTCTGAGATCTCTTCCCATCAACACCTTTATCATACAGCCTGCTGTGCTTTTTCAGTGTGGACTTTGTTGTTTCCCTACTAGACTGCCGCTTGTTTAACTACAAGCTTTAATATCCCAGATGCTATATCTTTTGATAGCCAGGCACCATCAGCTTTCTTCCCCATATTTGCTTAAGCATCCATTTCGTCTTCAGCGATCATGTCAGGGAGGTGGGTATCATAGAGTGGCACATTATTAGAACAAACCATTCTTGTACAGACGTAGGAAATACTAAACATTTAACAGTATTAGACTTCATTAATTAAAATAATCAAAGGCCACATCTGGGTTATATTTAGTTTGGGGCAAATATTTTAAACTGGAAAATTTTCAAAGAGGAGTTATCAGAATGGAAAGACACCTGGGAACAATCGTATACAAATGGTTGCGATTTGGAGCTATTTAGCTTCGGGAATGGAACTGTTAGACATGAGTGTCTGTAAATATGAAGAATTGCTCCTGGAAGAGCAATTACTTTTGTTTATCTTCATGGGCAATATTAGGGCTATAAGATGAAAGTTATTGATGAGATTTTGCCCAATTTTAGAAATGTTTTTCCAAATTAGCTAAGGAGCTTCCCATTATTTAGAGAATAGTTTAAATCTCATATGACTGATTGGAAGATTGGTGTCTGCTCCTTTCCAGTTCTTCAAATTTCAACTTCCGTTACCTATGGGAATCACTTAACCAGGGGATGCAAAATTATTAGTAAGTTAGAATTGAAACAAAGCAACTGAATATCTTTTTCATGCTTCTTTGATGTTTTCAGTCATATAACTTATTTATTTTAAATCTTTTAAAATGTGTTTTTCATTCTGTTTAATCTCCTAATTGTAGCTACCATTAATGATATGTCAGAAGCTGGTCTAGAGGGTCTGGTATGGGTTTTAATGTACAAACCACATACTTTGGTACACTTGTAAACTTAGATTCTACCTTCTTTCCTTGTCTCAGGGTTTGGGTATCATCCCCCCCCCCACTCACCTAAGAGGTTTATGGCTCCTTTATAGGTCCACTTACAACTTCACTGATTTGGTGGCTTGCGTTTCCCCCTTCATTGCACAAAGAGGAATTATAAATGCACTAACAACGAATCTACTTTATGTATTAGTGTTTCCTGGCATGTGACTTTAGACTGACTCAGTGGCAAATGCCTGGTCCTTTCTGAATGCCTCCGATGACATATATCCCAGATTTTCCAGCCTCACTTTTACTCTGTTTTAATGATCCCATTATCTGAACTATGTTCTGTGTTTACCATTTGTCTGCCAGTTGGTTGTGCTCTGATGACTTGCTGTGATGCTAGAAGCTATGTCACTGATATTCCAGTACCCCACATGAAGTTTTCAGCGGAGCCTTCAAACTAAAAACAGCTTGTGAAGAACAAATAAGCTGTATACTTTTGAGGGATTAGCCACTAAAAAACCTTATGAATTTTATCCTAAAAAACCTTAGGACAACGTTGTCGGATACAGTGCTGCAAGAGAAGCCCCTCAGATTGGAAGGCATTCCAAATATAACGTAGAAGAGCTGCCTTCTCAAAGTAGAATAGACCATAATGATGCGCATGGAGTAAAGCTCTTGGGACCTTCATTGCTAATGGGATATGACTCAAAGTGAGAAGATAGAGCTGCAAACATTTATCAATAGTCAGAACCTGGAATGTATGACAAATGAGCTTCTCCAAATGGAATACAAAGAAATCAAATTGGCTACATCTGTAGGAAAAGACGAGTCAGAAGCTCAATCTCAGCAGCTAAAATGAGGCCAGGGCTTGACTGTGGAACAGGCCACCAATTATTCACATGTAAATTCAGGTTGAAGTTTAAGAAAATTAAAACAAATCCATGAGAATGCAAATATGACTTTAAGCCTATCTCAGGAACAGATTTTCTGCACTGAACATTATTGACAGAAGACCTGATGAACTGTGGTAGGACATCATTCATGAAGAAGCCAAAGGCCATTAAAAAGACAAGTAAGACAAATCTGGCTAGAGGACGTACACTCGTACAAATAGGAACTGGAAACACAAGGAATCCAGGGAGGATAATCCCTTCAGGACCAGTGGTGTGAGTGGCGATACTGGGAGCATAGAGGGAGGGTGGGTTGGAAGGGGGGAACCGATGACAAGGATCTACATGTAACCTCCTCCATGGGGGGCAGACGGCAGAAAAAGGGAGATGTCGGACAGTGCAAGATATGACAAAATAATAATTTGTAAATTATCAAGGGTTCATGAGGGAGGAGGGAGCAGTGAGGGAGAGGAAAAAATGAGCTGATGCCAGGGGCTTGGGTGGAGAGCGGATGTTTTGAGAATGATGAGGGCAATGAATGTGCAAATATGCTTTACACAATTGATGTATATATGGATTGTGATAATAGTTGTATGAGCCCCTATTAAAACGATTTAAAAAAAAGACAAGAAAGTAGATATCAAAAGAGACTCCAAAACTTGCTGTGAAGCATAGAGTAACTACGGCAGATGGAAGAAATGATGAAATCCAAGAGCTGAAGAGAAAACTGCAAAAGGCAGCTCAAGAAGACAAAGTAAAATAATGAAATATGCAAACACTTAAAGTTAGAAAACTAAAAGGAAGAATACACTTGGCATATCTTAAACTGGAAGAACTAAAAAAATTTAAGGCTTGAGTTGCAATTTTGAATGATTCTATGTGAAAAATATTAAATGATGCAGGAAGAATCAAAAGAAGATGGGAAGAATACAGCGTCACTGTACCAAAAAGCAAGAATTGACATTATACCATTTCAGGAGGTAGCATATGAGCAAAAATCAATGGTGCTGAAGGAAGAAGTTCAAGCTTCACTGAAAGCATTAGCCAAAAGCAAGGCTTGAGGAATTGGTGGAATGTTTCAACAGCTGATGAAGCACTGGAAGCATTCACTCACCTATGCCAGGAAATTTGGAAGATAGCTACTTAGCCAACTGACTGGAAGAGATCCTTATACCCATTCCAAAGAAAGATGACCCAACAGAATGTTCAAATTAGAGAACATGGAAACACATTGTTGTTGAGGATCATCCAGTCCCTCGGTTGCAGCAGTCCGCTGACAGGTTGCAGTTAGGGGTTCAGGCTGGATTCAGAAACGGTCATGGAACAAGGGATATTGCCGATGTCAGCTGCTGACAAATACTGAAAGTACCATGGACCGCTAAAAGGACAACCTGATCTGTATTGGAGGAAGTATGGCCAGAGTACTCCTTAGAGGCAAGGAAGGCAAGACTTTGTCTTAATTACTTTGGACACATTGCCAAGAGAGACCAGTTTTTAGAAAAGGACATCGTGCTCGATAAAAAGTGGACGGGGCAGCAAAGAAGAAGGTCCTCGATGAGATGGATGATGCAGTGGCTACATCAAAGGGCTCAGGCACAGGAACAATTGTGAGCATGGCGCAGGATGGGCAGTGCTTCCTTCTGTTGTGCCCAGGGTCGCTATAGGTAGAAGCCGACTCTACAGCACCTGACAGCAACATCATCCAGCAACAGTTGCAACAGTACGTCAACAGGGGATTTTCAGAGATTCAAACTGGATTCAAAGCAGGATATGACAGAAGGGATATCCTTGCTGACATTGTACCTTGGCTGAAAGCAGAGATTATTAGAAAGATGTTTACGTACTTGTGTTTCATTGACTATGCACAAGATTTTGACTGTGTGGGTAGTAACAAACTGTGGATAACATTGAGAAGAATGAGAACTCTTCCGGGTGCTCATGGGGAACCTGCACATGGACCAGCATGCAGTTGTTGGAACAAAACAGAACTGTTGCATGGTTTAAAATCAGGAAATGTTTGTGTAAGGAAATGTTGCATCCTTTCACTGTGCATATTCAATCTATATACAGAACAAATGACCTAAGAAGCTGGATTATATGAAGAATATGGTTTAGGATTGGAGGAAAGTGTAACAATAAGCAGATGACACAACCTTGCTTGTTGAAGACAAGAAGGACTTGAAGCCCTTGTTGATTAAGATCAAAGCCTGCAGTTTTCAGTCTGGGTGGCAATGCAATGTAAAGAAAACCAGAACCCTACAACTGGACCAATGGACAACGTCATGATAAACTGAGAAATGAGTAAAGTTCTCAAGGACTTCATCTTGCCTGGATCCACCATCAATGCTTGTGGAAACAGCAGTCAAGACTTCAAACAACATATTGCATTGGGAAAATGTGCATAAGACTTCTTCAAAGTGTCGAGGAGCAAGCAGTCACTTTGAGGACTAAGGGGGGTCTGACCCATGCCATGGTATTTTCAATTGCATCCTATACATTTGAAAGTTGAACATAATAAAGAAAACTGAAGGGGGAAAAATAGAAAAGAAAGAAAACTGAAGAGGAATTGATGCATTTGAATTAAGATATTGGTGAAGAATATTGAAACTACCAGGGACTTTTAAGAATAAAAAATATGTCTTAGAGAAACTGTAGTCAGAATGTACCTTAGAAGCGAGGATGGCAAGCCTTTGTCTCATTTACTGGATATGTCAGGAGAGACCAGACCCTGGAGAAGGACATCATGCTTGGTAAAGTGGAGGGGCATGAAAAAGGGGAAGGGAGGCCTTTCATGAGATGGACTGTTAGTGTCTGCAACAATGGGCCCAAACATAAGACCAGTTGTGAGCTAGCACAGGACTGGGAAGTATTTTGTTCTGTTGCAAGTAGGATCATTGTGAATTGGAACAGACTTGATGGTATCTCACAACAACATTCTCCAGCAATGTCCAGAAACTTAGACTATGGGTATACATTGGTTTTTCTAATATTCTACTAAGAATTTCCTTATCTTCTTTTTTATGAGAAGAAGCCAAAGAAAGACCTTCCATGATTCATTGGTACATTCTGAGAATTCATGTTAATTTTTCTCCAAGGAAAAGGGAATAGTTTGAATAGAGTGATACTATTTGGCAAGTTATTTAAAACCCAAACCCACTGCCCTTGAGTCGATTCTGATTCATAGTGACCTTATATAGGACCGGGTAGAACTGCTCCTTGGTTTCTGAGACTGTAAATCTTTACAAGAGCAGACACAGCCTCATCTTTTCCCTGCAGCTTAGCCATTTGGCTTGAACCACTGACCTTGTGTTTAGCAGCCCAGTGCTTAGCTCACAATGCCACCAATGCATGGACTAGATATTTCCTAGTATTTAAATGAGATGGTTCTTTTTGTTGTCCCTTGATAGACTGTTTCATCTACAGATAGTTATCTTTCATAGATCAGTTTGTTATAAGAATGTAAAATATATGATGCACACTTTCTTTACATAAAACTCTTATTCATGAAAAAAAAAAGAATGTAAAATATTTAAAAGTAATCAAAACTTAAGGGTTTTAAACAGACTTCTTAGTTTCATTACCTATATGTTGAACTTCTGGTTAGATATTTGATTTGAACTTGTATTTCTGCCCTCTCTGAACTAATGGTTACACTTGTTTCCTTGTCTAAATTTTTTTTTTTCCTGAAAGGGAATAATTGTAAGATGGATTGTCTCCATTTTTTATCTCCATGAGGTATTGATTTAGGGTTGTTTACTTCAGTGGATACTGGGTCTCATCCAGTAGAGTAGGCTCTCCTAGAAAGTAAGTTTGGGATTTTGTGGACTTCTAATTTCCATACTCACACGACCTTTCCCATTGGTCTCCATTCTCACTGTCAATGTTGAAATACTAATATGTTTTTTTCTCATTAGATCATTTTAGCTTCTGTTTTTCCTTGACCCTTCCCTTTATAAGAAAAAACTTAGGAGAAAATCAAAACTTGATGTAGAAAAGTAATTAAATGTATTATATATGGATTTATATAGCTAATTACTTTAAAGACATTTATTTCATAAATTAAATGCGCTAACCATCCTTTATTTATTTGAAAACATACAATTAAGTACTTCCCCAGGATATTACGCCATTAAATTTCATGATTTGCTTAAAACCTACCATCAGCCAAAAATGAATGATCTTAGAAGAATGCACCACAGACTAGTTTGAAGTGCAGTCACTTGCCATCATTTATATATATTAAGTTACCAATAGTTCTCAGTCAAAAATCAGAATTACAGAAAATTGATAATAGCTTTTATTCAAGTTTATTACATTTTATTCAACAGAAATGTCCATCACAACATTCACCCAGAAAACCAAGAGCTAGTAAGGGAGCTTCGGGAACAACTTCAAACAGAACAGGTACTATTGTTATGGAAATACATGCATATGAAATCATGATGAAACATTACGATGCTGACTTTGAAACCAGGGCTTTTCTCCTGGTGTAAATTACCTTGTGCTGTCTTGTAAATTTCAGATCAGGCTACTGTTTAGTCTTAATCTATTCTGATAATTTCATGTTTGTTTTTTAAACTTCCTTTAAAAGAAAGTTATTCTAGTATTTATTTTAGTGTGAAGAAATAATCGCTAATTGGCTTTAATGAAATTTAGTGGAAAATTATTCTTTCTAGTGTATAATCCCTGAGATTTACTGGAAATTACTAGGAGAGGTAGCTGTGTGCTTTATTTTCTTCGTTGGTCAGGCTAACATTGTGAAGGCAAGAAGGTGGACTAGAACAACATCCAGAGTGTAGTATACTTATGAAGGCTGCACAAGTTGGGTATGGTGGTCCTTCATCCTGAAATAACTAACATGAAAACATGAACGTGAAAGATTTGCTTTCCTACCCATCAAGCAAACTCAGGCTCCAATCAGAGCTGTATAATTTATCCATTCACCAAATACCTACTGAGTAGCTACCATGTGCTAGACACCATCCTAGGCATTGGTGTTTATCTGTGAACGAAACAGCCAAAATTTGCTACTCTCATGGAATTTCAGTTCATCGATGCAAGAATAATTGTTACTAGTGCTCTGTTCCAAACCTATTGTCATCAATAATTCTTGCTAATGTAGAGCTTTAAAGCTGCCAGTGACTTCTCTTACAGCTATTTCCTTAATCTTCAAGCAGCCCACCAGAAAAGGAAGGTAGTTATTATTCCCACTTAACATATTAAAATACCAAGATTTGCTCTTCTTCATACATGAATAGATCTGCTATGACGGAGTCCTAGATTGAAGTGGATCTTGCAGATTTCTTTGCCAAAATCCCACTCATCTTCCTCAGCGCTTCTTAGGATGGCATTGTCACTCTTGGATTTGAATCCAGCTAGCGACTTCATCTAATTTCTGCTCTTCCATAGACAGTCACAAGCCAGCCACACATGGCTATTTAAATGAATCAAAATTAAATAATAAGAAAAGTTCTGGATTTTAGTCTACTAACTGCATCTTACCTGATATTCCCAGGCAGTCTCTCATCCAGGTACTAACTAGGGCCAACCCGTCTTAGTTTCCCAGAGAAGACTAGACTGTTGGGAAAAGAAAGCATCAGTATTGACTCAATGGCACTGAGTTTGGAGTTTTTAACAGCATTTCAGGTACGCAGTAGTCAGAAGTGGCTACCATTTTACACGGTGTAGCTAGAGTGCCACTATTAAAGACATTTATATTGGACAATGCTAGTAATTTAATTTTTGTGACATCTACAGAAGAATGAAGGGCAAAGATAGGGAAGGGGGCATTAAGAGTGGTGTCTTTTCTTTTTTTCAGCATTAAAACGAATGTTTAAGACGACTACATTATAACCTTGGCTTACAGAACATGCTAGTACTTTAGGAAATAGGAAATTTTCGTTACAAGTAAAAATAAAAATCTTTGTTTCCATTTATAGTTAAAAGTATTTCATACTTAACAAATTCATTCATTTAAAAAAGTAATTTGATGTTTTATTATTTTAAAAAAATGATTTTATTGGGGGTTCGTACAACTCTTATCACAATCCATACATATATCCATTGTGTCAAGCATGTTTGTACATTTGTAGCCATCATCACTCTCAAAAACATTTGCTTTCTACTTGAGCCCTTGGTATGTGCTCATTTTTCCCCTCCCTCCCTATTCCCCCCTCCCTCACGAACCCTTGATAATTTATAAATTATTATTATTTTGTCATATCTTACACTGTCTGACATCTCCCTTCACCCACTTTTCTGTTGTCCATCCCCCAGATGTTTTTATTTTTATATTATTTTAAAAATTTGATGTTTTAAATACTTTGTTTATAATCTGCATATTAGGCACCATAAAAACATTTCGACAGATAAGCTTTTTCATTAAAATACATTAAATACTATTTTGTAGGTGCTGGGGTACTACAGATAAATCCTTCAGATAAAAGCCCCTGTCCTCATGGGAGTTATATTCTAGTGAGTTTTCTGATGCCTGGATGCATCTCATATTGGTGATACTATTCTACTCAGTATTCCTATTTTAATCACAAGAATGAGGTAACTAAGAAACCTGTTGAAATTTATTAATCTATGTGGAAGGATTTAAGTTCAGGTCGTAGTAGCTTTAAGTTTTCTGCTCTCAAAATGACCAAATAATTTTCTCCGGAAGTATATCACTGGTCTTTTGTGAGGTACAATATACTGTAACATCTGTCCAGTTGAAATGTGAAAAATGAAAAAGCACTAATCCTTCAAAAGGGGTTTCACACTTCTTATTCCTCAGTGTGTCTATTAGCTCAGCCTTGTGGATAACGAGTCGTTGAAAATAGTTGACTGTAGTAGTGAAAAAGAGAAATTCTTGAGTTAATCTAGGTTTTCATTTTTAAATTGTCCTTGGGAAAGAAGATGCAGACCAGCTGAAGTAATACTATATTAGTCTCCTGACTTTTTCAAACCTGTACGACCTTGGAACTGTGGGTGTACTTTGTAAAATCTTGTGTGGATATATAGTCAGTTATATTCTTATAGTCAGCTATATTCTGAAGTGTAATTTGACACAAAGATATAAGGAGCTGATAGCAAGGGCTCAAGTAGAAAAAATGTTTTGAGAATGATGATGGCAACAAATGTACAAATGTGCTTGACACAGTAGATGGATGTATGGATTTTGATGAGTTGTACGAGCCCCTAATAAGATGATTAAAATATATATATCTTTCAAAGTCCCATGTGTCACACGTGTGTTTTCTCATTCTCATCAGGATGCCCCTGTTGCTGCTCGTCAGCAGTTCTACACGGACATGTACTGTCCAATCTGTTTACACCAGGCCTCCTTCCCTGTGGAAACCAACTGTGGACATCTTTTTTGTGGTGAGTAAACAATGCTACACTTAGTGAAGATGGCTGTTAAGATCAAGTCCGCTACATGTACAAAGGCTGGATTCCCAATTTTCACTTTCCCTTATTTGGTATCCTCGCTTCCCTGCATTCTGAGATGCTCATCACTTTTTGGAAGTTTTATTTATGTTCCTGCTTCCCAGGACAGGAAGGTTTTTCTCTCAAGAACACAGCCTAAGACTTTCCCTTGGCTCTACTACTGCTTCTTACTCTAAGTTAGTGCAAAAGTACTTAACCCCTCTTTGTCTGTGCCTCAAGAGAGTTGGTGAGAAACTTAGCGCATACGGTAGGACAAGAAGTAAATACTGAGTTTTTTATACTTAGTATCAGTAAGGTTTTTTTTACATCCCCTCGCCCATTTTTTTTGCCTAATCCTTCAGAAAGATTTCATCGAAAATGAGTTTTCACTTAAGCATTATTCACTGTGGTTATACGTGAGTGAAGGAGAGGGTGTCACTTCTTAAATGCCTGAGCACTTCATCTTATCGAACCTCACATGAGGAAACTGAAGCTCAAAGATACCGAGGAACTAAACAAAGGGTCATCCTGCTGTTAAGTGACAAAGCCAGGTTTTAGACGTAGGTCCTCTTGTAAGCCCCATGGCCGATTCTGCTGTATCACTGGTGGTTTATACAATGGCCAACAGTCTGAGGACTACCCTCTACTTAAATGTGCTTCTGGTGGTGGTGGTGGTTAGTATTTGTTCTTTGGGACACCTGTATTCAAGATAGGGTCCTAAGTGTTTCTGTATGTGGAAACATAAATACTATTATCAAATGTAGTATACAGTGAGCTTATGGTGCTCAGCTACTAACAAAAAGGAGACAACTCTGGCAGTCTGTTTCCATAAGGATTGCCGTCTTGGAAACCTTACGGAGTAGTTCTACCTTGCCCCGTAGGGTCAGTATGAGTTAGAATCAACTTGATGGCAACAGGCTTAGATGTTTTAGTATTTTTTTTTAGCCCATACAATGATTGTATGAATTGCCTTTTCCCATTCGTATGTTTTGTCTAACTGGCTTCATCACATAGAATTCTTCGGGAGAGTGCTGTCAGGGATGCCCTACGTATTTGAAATCCATGCCATAATAAACAGTTTTTTATATGTTGTGCTCATTTATTAAGGAACGACCATTATCCTATTATCCCCATATCCATTAATTTCAGCCTCTTCCCTAAGGTTTTTGCTTAATGACAAATAGTAAATAGTTATTTCAACTTCTGTCTTCATTTTTCGGTTGGAAACACTAATGAGCAGCAAAATAATGACAGATCAGGTGGGAAGAATCCAGAGGCCAGTAAAGAAGGCAGATCGGTGGCATCCATGGCCCTGCTTTCCCCTCCCGCTCCGCAGGGAGATGTTCTCTGGCACTCTTCTCCCGGTCTGTGCGAGGCCTCGGTCGCCCTGTCAGCACAGCGCTGCACGCAGCGTCAGTAATCAGTGAGGCTTGGCAGGCGAGGTGAACTCTATTTTCCAGGCTTAGGTAATGCACTAAGTGGTTAGCCCAGTCAATTGAAAGATAGCTGTATTGTGTTCTTGGTTTTACCTCTGCGTCTGAGGTAAGAGGGTAGATGGCTCCTGATATCCTGTTCTACTTGTCGGCCACTTTTATTTAGTGTCTGTCAGTTTAGAGGTTAAAGCCAACTTTTCAATCAACAGAAATGTGTTTGTTTGAATAGTGATTCAAATATATGAATGCCACCTATATGACGAGCATTTTAGCCTAGTTCCTGTGTATGAACTACAGTTGTAATCCATACAGTGAGTTAGAATAACAGTAGCAACAGACATCACCACATTTTCCTTTCTAATAGCACGTTATCTTATTTCTTGCAGTCCTGTGAGGACCATGCTTTTATTCACTTTACAGATAAATTCATAGATTTAGAGATTATAATCCTTATTAAAGTAATGACCCAGTTATCACTCATTCAGCCACCCTGTTTAGGTGGATATCTGTTTTTCATAAAGGGGCAAAGTTGAAGAATAAGAACACGTAAAGCACACATGAAGCATTCGTAGCAATGCCCATGAATTGAAAGGTGTCACGCGGTGAATCAGTTTTTCAGTAGAGGCCAGTGGCTATTACCTAATTGCACAACAAGGACACCTAAACGCAATTTTTTTTAATGCCCCAATTTTTGTAGTAGATAAATGTAAGATTACATGAATTAATGTATTCCAAAACATGTTTTGAGTTTTTGAGTGAAAAGGTAGCAGATAAATTACCACAGGTGGCATTATTAACAATAATACTAAGTTTTACTTTTCATATAGTTCCCATATGAAATTAGATTCTTCCAAGTATTTACTTATTACTCCGTCAGAGTAGGTTAAAGCTACAGCTCATTGAGACAGCCTTTGCTGGGCCCAGCTGTTTGCTCACCCATCTCCTCGTTCCATTGACATCTGCTGGTGTGTTTGCCCTTGCTGTTCCTGTCACCTGAAGTCTCCTTCTCCTCCTCCTCTTCTGACTTCCCTGATCTTATGCATCCTGAAAGTTCAACTCAAGTCTTTTCTCAAGTTACACACTATATGTGGGGTTAAAGGGAAGAGGGAACCCCACAAAACATCACAGGTCTGGTAGGCGCAATTGTACAGCGATAACAAGTAAAGATTACAGTAAAGTCATAGAGTGCATGAGAGTTAAAAGATGGAGTCAAGTAATGGAGTCAGACGCAATTCCTGTTAGCATTGCTCACCTCAGCCCCACTTGATAGTCCTCGTGGAGGGGACTTAGCCGTCAGAGTAGAAGCAGCTGCCTCGTTCTCCTCAGCCACCCTCCCGAGAACCAGGGAGCCTCCTTATTTATTGCTAACCATGCGTCATATTACTTTAGGGGGATACATCACAGCATTATGCGTCACAGAGAGGGGCAGTACAATCAATCCTTGAACAGGTTTGACCATTCTGGTGTCTCATACAATAAAACAGACAATTACTATCCTGGGAGGCATGCAAGCCCCCTGATAGCAGATAACAACCTACGTCATAGAGAGGGGTTGTAACATAGGCAATACAAGCAATAGGAGGGGGATGACCTAGGGGTGAACGCGCAATAGTAAGAGGAGGGAATAGGGGGGCATGTGTGGCAAGATGGGTGGACCCTGAACTCGATAAGCTTAGTCATCCTAGAGTGGTCCCTTGGCTTGCTTTCAGGCACTCCTTCAAAGGAACAATGCCAGAAGGGACTGGGCCCTACTTAGGGTGAGTCAGACTATACAGTCTGGTTACTCTAGATGGCTGATGTTAAGGAGAATAACCTCTGACCTACTTTCGCTGACCGCCTAGTGTACAGTCATACTCAAGCAGCTAAGTCTGGTACATATTATTAGGAAGACAGCTTAAGAGAAATCCTTCTGTTCCCTACAACTATATATCCCAGAGTTTTCCTTCTCTGGAATTCTTTGGTACACAGTTCAAGATCTAACTGTTGCTTCTCTGATGTTAGTGTATCACCTTGGTCTCCCCAATTTCATTAAGTCGCAGCATGCTGTGAATTCCAGATATAATTTGGTCTGGACTCTGAAGGAATCTAGACTAAAAGATAAAGGAGGAGTACACTGGGTTGTCAGTGTGAAAGTTGGAATACAGAGAAGCTCCCTGGACTTGGAAGGGAATTCAGAAGCACTATAGTTCAGATTCACAATTGAATCCTTCCAAAGGGAAAAGTGGATTAGCCCCTTGAATGCCAGACAGTATATATATTTTTAAATCATTTTATTGGGGGCTCTTAAAAGCTTTCATAACAGTCCATCCATCCAAGTATCAAGCATATTTGTACATACGTTGTCATTATTCTTTTCAAAACATTTTCTTTCTACTTGAGCCCTTGGTATCAGTTCATTTTTTCCCTCCCCCCCTCCCAAGCCCTTGATAAATTATAATTATTTTCATATCTTACACTGCCTGATGTCTCCCTTCACCCATGTTTCTTTTGTTTGTCACCCTGGGTGGTGGGGGATTATATGTCAATCATTGTGATCGGTTCCCTCTTTCTCCCCCCACCTTCCCCCAACCCTCATGGTATTGCTACTTCCATGATTGTTCCTGAGGGGTTAATCTGTTTTGGATTCCATGTGTCGGGAGCTCTTATCTGTACCAATGTACATGTTCTGGTCTAGCCAGATTTGTAAGGTAGAACTGGGCTTATTGATAGTGGGGAGGAGGGAGGGAGGGAGGAAGCAGTAAAGAATTAGAGGAATGTTGTATGTTTCGTCAGTGCTCTACTGCACCCGCCAGATAGTATTTTAAAGTATTCATTGTTCATCTGTTACTGGCCTCATATCCTTAGCTCTGCTTCCACTTTTTAAGGTCATACAAACTTGCTGTAGGTTGGATTACCCACCATTAGTTGTTTTCTTCCTTATGGGTACCCACAAGGAAAAAAATATGCCCATTAGCACAAGAGTTGGTTTAATTAGGGAATTGGCTTATAAATATTTCTAGGGCATGAAGCAAGTTATCGCTGTATGCTTTGATTTCTTGCCCCTATTACTCAATTACTATATATTATTATATTTGATTATTATAGTTGATACATAATATTATTATAGTGTCAACTATAGTTGATACAATAATGATTATAGTTGATACTATAATAGCATACCATTTTAAACTGCTAAAGGAATTTAAAAAATGTTTTTACACCATATATACTAAATTTAGAGCAGAAGTTTTATACCTTAACTTGTTGGTTTTCATATTTACAATGATGTATAATTACTTTATTTATTTCCCACAAAAATATGTTATTGTCTGTGTGGCATCACAGCATTCAGACAGTTAATCCTTTTTTAAAAATTATGGCAAAATACATATTATCAAAAAATGTATCATTTTACTCTTAAGTGTACAGTTCACCACTATACATTCGTAAAGTTTTCCATTGTTTCAAATGGGAACTCAGTGCCCTCTAAGCAGTAACACTCCGTATTTTATTCCCTCTTCAGTCCCAGGTAGCCATTTAAACTGGTCTTTTGGCATTGGTGTATTCAGCTATTTCACATAAGCGGGATCACACAGTGTTTGTCCTTTTGAGTCACCGTTATTTCACTTAGTATAATGTTTTCCGTGTTCATTTGCCAAATCCCAACACCCTCTTTTCATGATAAAAACACTCAACAAACTAGAAATGGAAAGGAAGTCCCTCTATATCATAAGGGACATGAAAAATCCACAGCTAACATCATACTCAGTAGAAAAAAATTAAAAACATTACCTGTAAGATCAAAACTAATACTGGAAGTTCTAGCCATAGCAATCAGGCAAGTAAAAGAACTAAAAAGTATCCAAGTCGAAAAGAAAGAAGTAAAACTAATCTCTATTGGCAGGTGGCATAATCCTGTATATAGAAAACCCAGAAGAATCCACAGGAAAGCTATTAGAGCTAAGAATGAATCCAACAGAGTTTTAGGGTACAAGATCAACATACGACAATCATTAATCAGTGCACTGGCAATGAACAATGTCAAAAGAAAATTATGAAAACTACTTTACTTATAATAGCAGTAAAAACACACAAACAACATAAACAAGCCAACCAGACAAAAAAACACGTAGGAATAAATTTAACCAAGTAAGTGAAAGTTAGTATAATGAAACTATGAAACATGGGTGAATGAAAAAAGATTTAAGTAAAAGACGCCCTGTGTTCATGTATGGGAAGGCTCAATATTTTAAAGGTGTCAGTATGACTCCAAATGATCTACAGATTAAATGCAATTCCAATCAAAATTCTAACAACCTTCTTTTCAGAAATGGAAAAAACTAATCTTCAAGCTTATGTAGAATTCCAAAGGGTCCTGAGTAGTGGAAACAATCTTGAAAAAGCAGAACCAAGCAGTAGAACTCATACTTCCAGATTGTAACGGATGTGAAAAAGCCATTGTGACCAAGAGTGTGTTACTGGTTTAATGACAGACCAAGGAAACAGAGCCCCAGAGTCCAGAAATAAGTCTCTCCCTCTCTGGTCAAGGGTGCTAAGTCTATTCAACGGGGAAAGAATGGTCTCTTTAATAAATGGCGCTGGGACAATTAAGAACCCCTTCTAGTAGGTATAAAAATTAACTATTGATGTGTATATTTGTATTGGTTGGTTTTCTTATATTGAAACACATGCCTGCCTTTAATGTGTAAGAATGTTGCTTAACTAGAAGTTTAAATAAAAATATCTTTCTATGACTTGGAATGTTACTAGAATTAAAATTGCATATAATGTTAAGGGGTTGGATGAACAAAAAATGAAAAGCATCTATAAATAAAATAAGACTTATTTTTAAATGTACTCAAGGACTATGGACTTTAAACCATCAGTGTTTTTTGGGTTTTTCCCATTAGGTACCTGCATTATTGCATACTGGCGGTATGGGTCATGGCTCGGGGCCATCAGCTGTCCAATTTGCAGACAAACGGTAATGTTTTATACTCCAGAAGCACTCGTAACGCTAGTGAATATTATACATATTTTTTATAGTTGAAAAACAGTGAGGAGACCCTATCTTACTTTCTCTGGTTTTAGTAGGGAGGAGAATCCCATCTCCTCATCCCAACAGCCCAAGGCTTACTGCCATGCGGGAGACGTCAGACATGCTTCCACCTTCCATCCTTTACCCTGTTTTGACACTGACACTGGCAATTCTTCCCATGTACTGTCCTTCTTTGCTGGGTTCAATAACCCATTGAACAGCAACACCGAAATCACAGACAATGCTCACGATTACGGGGATTAAGGAATTAATAGGTTTCTGAATACAAGCCAGAATCAGAAATCATTAAAGATAGTCGTATCTTTAATCATATCCACAGCCGTATCTCTCCTCAGCCAGCAGCCAAGTCTCTATCTAGTCCTCAGCCTCTCCTTTGGCCTCTGCCTCTGGGAAGGACCTCTTCCCACTGCTCTGTCTCAGTTTGACGTTTTTTTGGTACTGCTCCTCTGCCCTATCTCCATGCCTCAGCCTCTGGTCTCACAGTGGCATGGTCTCTCCCACTTCAGGCTCCCCTGGTGACTCTACTTCCTTGATGATACCAGGAATTCTCTCTTTCTGCTTCCAAGGTAGTTCGTAATCACAGAGGAATGGCGTTGATGGAGGTGTGGTTATTGTTTTTCAGCAGACCATACGTCTATGGAAGTAAAGGATAATGACTTGAATCACACCCACTAGTAAGGTAGAGACTCACAATACATCCCATTCTATCCTGTCCATTAGCAGAACAAAGAATTCCCTCTAAAATGGGATTATAACCTCAGATATAGAGGCTAGAATTTATAATACATCACAAAAGGAACTATGGATAGAAAAGCCATATTAAGCAACTTTACTTCACAAGCTTATCTAAACCTTGAATTATTTTACTTCTAGCAGAACTTTACTTATCCAAAGATTCTATGATATCACTCCATATTTTGAAACTACTTTCAAGACATAAAGAAGAGGGAATTCTTCTCTTTAAGATCTTCTTTGTTGTATGAAATACCTGCTAAGTGAATCTTCCCAACATTCCAACAAGTTTTGGTTGCAGTGCCAGCAGAATAACTATACTAACTAATCAACTGTAAAATATGTACTTTTGAAAAAATACTTATTTTCCTTTTTGGTTTCCTTGAACTTTCTCTTTCCTTGTGAGATCCCAGATAGCTTCAAATAATGAATCCTCATTTTGTACACCATGCCAGTTCTGTTGGCGACATATCCATATTGAACTTACCCAGAGCAGTCTGGAACATGCTAGTTGGTAGAGAAGCTGCTTCAGAAGGGAGGCAGTATGTCCTTTTAACACTGATGTGAAAAGCAAGGGTCAGCACAAATGAGGAAACTGAAAGGGTCACATTGTGTCAACTTCTCTGGTTCTACTGGAAAAGCAAAATACTAATCTGCAAAACTTCAAGTTGCTAGTATTTAATTAGTAAACTTATCAAATCAGGGCACTTCTATCAGTTGCACACAGCTTTTCATAATTTCCTATTATAATTATTTTAACTTTTAATTTAAAATAAAAATATAGATGTTTCTGATAAGAAGTTAAAGAACATTAAAATGGTAGGATTTCCTTAGGAAATCTTCCAGTACCCAAAACTAGGTCCTAAAAAGTATGTTTTTTTTTTCAAGTATAGATAGCTAACCATGTAAAGATGTCAAACTGTATGCATACATTTACTTTGGTTCTTTCTTGTAACCCTACTAAAACAGTAAGAGGATTTTGTAAAGATTTCTCTTTTTATGCTGTTGGGCGGAATTCAAGTACTCCCTAAACGCAAGAACACTTTGTTCTACTAACCAGTACTCTGTGATGCTCACCTTCCCTGACATGATCACTGAAGACAAAATGGGTACATAAGCAAATGTCAAGAAAGCTGATGGTGCCCAGCTATCAAAAGATAGAGCGTCTTCTGGGGTCGTAAAGGCTTGAAGATAAACAAGTGGCCATCTAGCTGAGAAGCAACAAAGCCCACACAGAAGAAGCACACCAGCCTGTGTGATCATGAAGTGTTGATGGGATCAGGTATCAGGCATCAAAGACCCAAAACAAAAAAATCCTATCAATGTGAATGAGGGGGAGGGTAGAGTGGAGACCCAAAGCTCATCTATAGTCAATTGGATATCCCCTTACAAAAGGGTCACAAGGAAGAGAGAAGCCAGTCAGAGTGCAGTATAGCACTGGTGAAACACACAACTTTCCTCTAGGTCTTTAATGCTTCCTGCCCCCCCACTGTCATGACCCCAATTCTACCTTACAAATCTGGCTAGACCAGAGCATGCACTGATACAAATAAGAGTTCTCAACACAGCGAATCCAGGACAGATAAACCCCTCAGGACCAATTAATTGTATTGACCAAGTGCTTTTTCATTACAAATTTGTGAGCAAAGAGGTCTGAATCTGCTGCTTCTACCAACTACTGCTTTTAGTCATTGTTTAGTTGTTTGGAAGCCCTCGTTTTTATAGCTTAGCTTAAACCGAGAAACTCCAAACTCACTGCCATTGAGTTGATGCCAAGTCACAGCGACCCAATAGGACAGCATAGAACTGCCCCTGTGAGTCTGAGAGTAACTCTTTATGGGAATAAAAAGCCTAGTCGGATAAAAATAATAGCTGAATGACTAAACTAAATCTGTTACTTCTCTGTCCCAATTTTATCTCATTGTATAGCTCATTACTGATCATTTTTGAAAACAAGCATTGTTATATTTCTAACTTTATTTATTTTACAACTTTCTGTCATCTTTATCCTAATAAGGCTTGGAGGGCATATATGTATCTTCCTTAACACTACCATGGAGGCAGCAGGGTGAAAATATTATATACTATAAAGCATTATCAAGGGTTCTCACACTAATTATTGTGTGAGTTGGTGTCTGAGAGCTTGTCCCTGCAACAACTTGATCTTTGGACTAAGGTTGATAACATTCAGAGATGTTTCAAATATCAGAATAAGGAATCAACTTCAATTAACAATCCCCTCAAAAGATTTTCTAAATTTTTTCCCTCTCAAAATGATAGTAATATATTATTCTCACTTTGGCCCTGAAATTTTTCTCATCATTCTTATACCCTCAGATAACTGATATACTGAACTTATCTATGGTGTGAACAGGAAAATATTAGAACCAGTACTTAGGTATTGTGCCCATGGTTCAAATTACATTCTGTAATGTATTTTATTATAAGGCAGTTATAATGTACATTTCCTCCCCTGTGATTCCTTTATTAAAGAAATGAGTAAAATATAAATTCAAACCCTTTATCAATGTACTGAGTAGTAACACAAAATGGAAAAAAAGAGGAAAAAAAGAAAACCCCTAATGATACTGAAAGGAGGTTTAACAACTTTTTCTTGGACATACAGGTCACTCTACTCCTACCTGTATTTGGTACTGATGATCAGTCTCGGGAAGCTGTGCGACTGCGGCACGATGTCAATGACTACAACCGAAGGTTCTCAGGGCAGCCCAGATCTGTAAGTGACCGCACAGCAGCAGGTGCAACGTTACAGGGGCCTTCTCCTTCTCTTCCCAAAGGGAGATGGACCAACAAATGCTTGTTCTCAGCTCTGGACAAGCCCACTGCTGATGTGTGTTGCATAAAAGATTTAAATTTCGCTTTCCTCTTCATTTTTGCTCATCATTGAGTTAAAGCTTTCTGGGGTTAATTTTTTCCTTCCTTAAAATAAAACATTACAAAGGCCTCTTTATGTAAGAGAAAGCAGACAAAACAATGTGAGAAAGTGAACAAAACGCACTGCCATCGAGTTGATTCTGATTCATAGCAACCCTACAGGACACAAAACTGCCCTTGTAGGTCTGAGACCCTAGCTCTTCACTGGAGTAAGAAGCCTTGTCTTTTCTGGCAGAGCAGCCGCGGTTTTGGATTGCTGACGTTGCCGGCTACTAGGCTAATGTGTAACTCACTCACTGTGCCACCAGGGCTCTCTGGGAGAACCTGAAGGGGAATGTAAAATTACTTACTTCTATGTGACTCTAAGATATGGTTGTCTTATGAAGGGACTTTTTCAATTGTGTTTTATTTTCTTCCCTTCCCTTCACTCCACAATCTAAAATACTTCTTGGTTTTTTAAAAACTCTCTTGCCTTGCCTTTGTTTTGCAAATCATTTTGGTTATTCAAGATCATTTTTACTTGATAAAAATATGCTGAATAATGTATACCCCTTCCTCACCATACTAGTCCAAGCTATGAAAATTGTTCATTTATGCATAAGCCAAGTTATTCATGTGTCATTCTGTTCATATTCAACTGAGTTTTATATATATGTTTGTTTGTTTTTAAAGAAAACTACATTATTTTAAAGAACCAAATCATAATGTTTGTTTCTTCTCTTACCAGATCATGGAAAGAATTATGGATCTACCCACTTTATTGAGGCATGCCTTCAGGGAAATGTTTTCTGTCGGGGGCCTTTTCTGGATGTTCCGAATCAGGATAATCCTGTGCTTACTGGGAGCTTTTTTCTACCTAATATCACCTCTAGATTTTGTACCGGAGGCCTTGTTTGGAATCCTAGGCTTTCTAGATGACTTCTTTGTAATCTTTCTGTTGTTTATTTACATCTCTATTATGTACCGAGAAGTGATAACACAGAGGCTGAATAGATGAGGAAAAATGGCTTACTAGAATATTTGAACTAGTGTTTAAATTCACACAAAGAGATCCCTGGTATTATAAGGCATTTGATTATTATCTTACAAACTTAAAACAGTAGGATAGAGTTGATTATTGATTGACAAATGCCTTGCAATATGTAACTGGAATTTTAGCGCATTACAGGTTCAACTCGAATTATAATGATCTTGATTCTGTGTTGTCCGTCAATCTCTGAAAGAAATATGGAACTATGTCAAAAAGGAATGTTTTTATTTCTTTTTGGTATAAAATGGAAAAGAACTTCCAGGACTCATATTAATTGGCTTTGTAGTATCATTAAATGTACAGTTATCCAGTACAGCTTCCTCAATAGTTCCCTTTATAATAATATACAGCTATGAAATCCATCTAAATATTTTTGTTACAATAAAATGTAAATATAATAGTGGGGGAATGAATTTTCTTTAATATTAACTAAATTTTGCATATTTTGAGCAATTCTCTTCCATCTTGGCATAATTCTTTGCTCGGAACTGAAAATGAAGGAAGAAACTTGAGCTTTGTAATTTGATTTTAAATTCTGGTTTCCAGAACAAGTGTTAAGCAACAGGAGATTTATTAAGAGAAGAAAAGTATTGATTTCCAGTCAGCACACAGGCTGTTCATCATTGTGACATTTAAACAAGGAAAAGTTTGGTCCTTTCAAGGATTAGCATATAAAAGTAGTAAAAGGAATACAGCTAAGAGGCTGATCCCAGTTCAGTCATTTATTTGTTGCATGCAAAAATTTTCATCTATCACATGGGGACTTCTACAAGAAGGGAGAGTGACAACCACAAGCACATCCTATTGGGATGCCTTTCTGAGGTTCCGTGAAGCTTCCTGGTTGTGGGCATCAAAACCCTAAGGACGGTACTAGAAACATTATTTGACTTGAAATTACTGGTTTATCATTAGCAATAAAATAGGCAAATTTGATTAGTTTTCTATTGAGTCAAAAAACTTGTAAGTATGGTGTCTATAGATGGTAGCAGATAGTCCAGATTGATTGTCTACAAAACACTATGCAGAATGAGCAAACACATCTGACATGATTAGAAACCCCCCCACCCCCCCATCATTATGGTATATGTGTCTAATGTTCTCTCCTGAAGTTTTCAGTATGGTAAAAAATAGATACTAAAAGTATTGTACAATCATTGTTCACTCACTTCATCTGGCATTGCTCTGGGTGACTATTAACACAGCTGGTGTGTAAGGTAGGAACAGCTATGAGTCAGTGTTTGCTTTACCATCTGTGATCCTGGGTAGGAATACTGTTAGTGAGCCTCACACTCTACATAGTGAAGTATGGGAAAATAGGTCAGATTTTTGTTATTTTTTGAACTTTTTTTTTTTCCTTGTTTATCTCCTTGCTGTAAGATTTATTTTCTTTTTTTTTTTTCTTTAAAAAAAATCATTTTATTTGGGGCTCATACAACTGTTATCCCAATCCATACACACATCAATTGTGTAAA